CCGCTGAGCCATCTCTCTAGCCCCCCCCCCTTTTTTTTTGAATAGTCTTGTCCTTTCTTGAACTGGTTCTGTAGACCAGGCTGGCCCCTGATTCTGAGGTGTTGGGATTAAAAGTTTGCTCCACTACTTCCCAGCAACAGCAAGTACTCTCAAGAGCTGAGCCATCTCTTCATTCCGCCTGACCTTTGAGGCTTAGTTTTGTGGGCCATACCTTTTATCCCAGTACTTGGAACGCAGAGGCTTGCCTGGCCTTCATAATGAGTTTCAGGACAGCTAGTACTATAACTTCAGACAGTCTCACACAAACAAGAAAATTATTTGATAATTTTAGCTCATGGGCAGGGTTCCGAGAGTGCTGTGATTTGGCGGTCATTTTCAGCCTTACTTGAACAATTCTGCTTTATGTGAAACAGGTAATTGTAAAGAATGAATGAATGAGTTTTCTTGGTATCACTTTCAGTTGAATGTATTTAGTGTGACAAATTGATAACAGTATACAAAATAAAAACTATAAAAGCCTTGGATCTCATCTTTCTTTCAATGCTTCCTCAGTGACAAAACACAGCCTTTTAACCTAATTACTAATTAGTTAATATCTTTCTTGACTTTAAAAAAATATATATTGGTGCACACCTATTATGTCAGCTCTTGGCAGATGGTGGTAGGAGTTAATGATCATCCCTAGCTGCTTTGGGAATTCAAAGTCAATCTAGGCTACATGAGACCCTGTTTCAAATCTTAGACCATTGCACGTCTAAGTTGTGATCAGCAAGGTAAGATTTCATACTGGAACCCTTAGCATTAGAAAGCCAACACCATGAGGATTGTAAATTCCAGGCCAGTCTGTGCTATCCAATAGAATGATTGTGTTTTCAAATAATCTTTAAAAATATCTATCTATCTATCTATCTATCTATCTATCTATCTATCTATCTATCTATCTATCTATCTGTCTATTTTGTGTACAATATTGTGTGTGTGTGTGTGTGTGCGCACGCGCGCGCAGGCCAGAAGAGGGCACCAGATCCCATTATAGATGGTTGTGAGCCACCATGTGGTTGCCGGGAATTGAACTCAGGACCTTTGGAAGAGCAGGCAATAACCACTGAGCCATCTCTCCAGCCCTCAAATAATTTTTATAATTAGATCTTGACCATAAATAAGTTCTTCTCTTAATATTATTACCTTTTCCCCGAACATACAAATCTTAATTTTTTCCTATCCATTTTGTTTTCAAGGGGCCTATTTTTTGGAAGGGTGGCCTTGACCTCAGAGATTTTACTGCCTTTGACTGCCTACCTTTTAATAGGATCTTTTTGTTGTTGTTTTTGTTTGTTTGTTTGTTTTTGCTTTTTGTTTTTGCTTTTTTTTTCCCTTTGCTTTTCTCTGTGAGACAGTTCTAGCTGTCCTGGAATTTCCTAGACCAGACTGGCCTGGCCTTGAACTCACAGAGATCCACCTGCTGGGATTAAATGCGTGCACCACTGCTGCCTGGCTTCTTAAAGGTAGAACCTATATATCATATGTCTGCAGTTTAGTAGGACAAACTTCTAACACATCTCAGTTTTTAGAGTATTTTCTTTTTGATAGGTGATCTAGGATTGGGTGTTTGTACTACTGTTTACTTACCTGATCAGTCCCTATTAGTTTTATTTAGATTTGTTATCAGTTACCGTGAACATGATCATACAAACATTTTTTTCAGCATTTCTCTTGATAATCTTTAGACTGAAGCATTCAAAAGATCATCTGCAATTCTAAACCAGATATTTAATATTTTAAATATTGAAGGTACTATTTACCTACACCATAGAGACCATATTTACTTATATGGTTACCAACAATGTTTAAGTGTACTTCAGGCAGTTTTAAATTTATTTATTGGTTTCTTTCAGACAGGGTTTTTCTGTGTAGCCCTATCTATTCTGGAACTTGCTCTGTAGATGGCTGGCCTCGAACTCAGATCCACCTGCCTCTGCCTCCCGAGTGCTGGGATTATGTATTATCATTGCCCTGCACAGTTTATATTTGAGATATGGAGTTATACATTAAGGAACTCTGGAGTCTTTTTCTAGCAAATTACGGATTGTAGTTTGAAAATCATCTAAGTTATATTTTTATGAGACAACCTGACTCTTTTGAGGTATGTCACCCCCCCCCCCCCAAGAAAAACCAATCTACTCCAGGGTTTTATACATGTTAAGCAAGTATTCTAACACTATACAGCAATTTACCCAGCCCAACTGCACCATGATCGAAAGGAAGGCATATATTATTAAAATTGCTTTTATTTGAAAAGAAAAAATAAACCCGGTGTGGTTGTGCACAGCTGTACTGTCAGCTCTGTGAAGACAGAGACAGAAAAGTCATGAATTCAAGGCTATTATTCTGGGCTCCTGCAGGGCAATCCTATCTTAAACAAAAGCCAAAAAACAAACAAACCAAAAAAAGAAAAAACCAGAGTGTAGTGGCATAGCTCAGTTGTAGAGCACTTGCCTGACGTGTGCTAAGTACTGTGAAAGAAACCTAACCAGGAAGACAGTGGTGTGGTGTGTCCTACAGGAGAGTTGCCTTCCGAAGGCTTTAAGTATAGTTCAGCGCTGGGTGACTGTAACTTCATAGGCGATGTTGCTGTTGATCGCTATAAAATACTTCTTGAGATTTCATAAGATCACTTTGAGAAAATTTAATGTATTTGATTATCATTTAATAATGACCTAATATTTACTTTTTTTAAAATTAGGATATATCGACGCAAGAAAGTAACATATTAGGGGCATTCTGTGATATGAATGTAAGTGTTTTTATCTTCTTTAAGATTTATGGAAAATGTTTTCTTTTGAATTTGTTTTTATTTTTTTTAATGTTTCTTATAATTAAAAATTATTTCTGATATGTTTAAAACTTAAACACTTTTGTTTGTGTTATAGGATGTAGAAGTTCCCTTGCATTTGCTTCGTTATGTCTGTCTATTTTGTGGAAAAAATGGCCTTTCTCTCATGAAGGATTGCTTTGAATATGGAACTCCTGAAACATTGCCGTTTCTTATAGCACATGCATTTATTACAGTTGTTTCTAATGTAAGTATTATTTGGAATTAGTCTTGAACTCTTTTAGCTCAACATCCTGTATTTCAGTGTCACGAGTTTTTGTTTTTTGTCTAGAAAATGCAAGTTTTGGGTGGTTTGCAGATGTAATCATCTTTTACATAATTTAAAAACTGAGTATGTTTGTTTTAAAGGGGCAATAAAATTAAAATCTGAACAAAATTAATTTTTAAGTTTAAAATAGTTAAAGATTACCCTCATCTCTTTTTTGTAAAATCAAAGGTAGGTGGCTTTCGTTGAAATTAACCTTCTTTGTCTGGGGTTTTTGTTCTAGCAAAACTTCGCTTCTTAGTGTTTTTTATTTAAGTAATGGTTGTCTATTTCACTGCTGAAGTATGTCTGACTTCACTGTACATTACATAAAAAGGTATAATGTTTCTTTTTCCCTTAACACTGTTAAAACTGTGAGGCACAGTAAAAATCGTCTGAAAGAAGTAATTTTAATACCTATATATTCAACCTTTAACTTACTGTGGACATTTCAGAAAGAGCATTGCTAAAATTAAATGTAATTTAACTAAAACCTGAGGTTTGGTATAAGTAATTATACCAATTACATTTGGTATAAACTTATTTGAATATAAGTTTAGAAAGTAAAAGCAGCTTGTGAAAGCCTTTGGTCAGCATTGTGCAGTCGTGCTTCCAGTGCGGTCTTTGCAGTGTCAGTGTCTGGGACGGGGTGGGGTGGGCACCTCGTGTTCCTTAAATTAAACTCTTAGCTCACCACCCTGTATTTTAGTTCAGAGTTTTTTTCTAAGATTAATTTTAAATCCATAATTCCATGTTTTCTGATATGTTGAAAGTTTAACCTAATAGAAGTATATATAGTGTGTAGTCTTATATACCATTTAGACTTTGTGTGTGTTACGCAAGGCCTGCTTTTGGCTGACCTCGGCCACTTTGGTTTTATAGTTGCTTTTTTTTTTTAAGTTTAAAATGTTAGCTATTGATCTTAAAGTGAGAATGATGATGGTGTCTTCCTTAGAGGATTCTTTAACGTTAAGTGGAGTTTAACAGTAAAAGCAGTCTTGGCCAGGCGAGGTGTGAAGTGCTTGAAGACCTTATTTGATAAGGTTGAAGAGAACACACTCTTGAGTTATCCTTTGACTTCCAGCCGTGCGCTGTGGCATGCAAGTGTCTGTGCTCACGTAATAACTGAAAAAGAAAATATGCCTGGCAGCAGTGGCACACTCCTTTAATGCCAGCACTCGGAATTCAGAAGCTGGTGAATCTCTAAGAGTTCAAGTCTACAGAGCGATTTCCAGGACAGATTCCAAAGCTACATAGAGAAACCTGTCTCATCAAACCAAAAACAAACAAACAAACTCTCAATTTAAAGTTGCTATGGTAGCACTGGATGTCTGTGTAACTGCTTAATTACTATATTACTATGCATTTTAGCTCTGAAACATTTAACTTAGTACTCTTATTTTGCATATAGAAATTCTGTTCATTTTAGTTTAGTCTTCTGGTCCTACTTCTTCCCTTGAAACTTAACCTAGTCTAGCCTTGGGTATAAAGCAGGGTTGAGTTCAGACTGGGCAACATGAACCTTTCTGAGAAACTAAAATCACATGCAAATCAGCTCATTTAAATTAAAAACATACATTCCTTATATCCCAGCACTTAGGAGGCAGAGGCAGGTAGTTCTCAGTGTAAGGCCAGCCTGGTCTACAAAGTGAGTTCCAGGATGGTCAGGAGTGTTTCAAAGAGAAAACTTTATTTCAGAAAAAAACAAAAAAAAACAAAAAACAAAAAAATCCCCCAAAAAACCAACTTATAAATATTAGAAGTTTTGACATTTTTTTAAACCTACTATTGGTGCTTTGATCCCACCCTTCCTGAAGTTTATAAGTAAACAGGAAGTGATGCTGGGCGTAGAAATGCATGCCTTTAATCCCAGTGCTGTAGAGGCAGATGGGTCTCTGCATTCAAGGATAGTGAAATCCTGCCTCCAGCACAGTGTCTTTAGACAATTTTAATGACATTGTAAATTTCAGAGTTTTTGTAGGTGTATCATGCCATCTGGAACACAGTAATTTTTCTGTTAGTCATTATGTGAATATGGTTTGTTGTTGGCTTTGTCTTTTGTTGGAAATTGTTATTTAGCCTACGATGACCTCAATCTCTGAATTCCCCTGGTTTATGTGACTCACTATCCTCACACTGTTAATGTCCATCTCTTTTCTTGAAAATAGCCTCTCTTTGGGAATATGCAAATTTACATGAATTTTCACACAGAGTGAAATGACGGATAATCAGCTCCTTTCCTATAAAGAAAAAGAAAACTGAATCCTAATATATGATCTAGCACAGATAGACTGGCCTTATCGAGTACTTATTTCTCTCACAGTGTGAGACCACATGTCCCATAAAAGAATAGTTATATTTTTGGGGGAACTAGATTTTTATGCCTGTGAAGAGTAGCCCTCTCTCTCTTCCTCTCTCAGTCTGTCTGCCTGTCTGTCTTTTGAGACAGGCCTTTTTTTTTTGTTTTATTTGAGACGGCGTTTTTCTGTAGCTTTAGAGCCTGTTCTGGAACTAGCTCTTATAGACCCGGCTGGCCTGGAACTCACAGAGAGCTTCCCGCCTCTGCTCCCCAGTGCTGGGATTAAAGGTGTGCTCCACTACCTTTCAGTGAGACAGGCTTTCATTATTCAGTCTGGGCTGTCCTCTAGCTCAGAGATCCACTTGCTTCTTTTTCCAAAGTGCTGGGATTAAAGGTGTGCACCACCACATATGACTATCTTCAGCAGTTCCTAGTCTCATTGTTAGTATATTTCTCAATTTTTTGCACAAATAGCTGACTTGTATGGATACGTTCTTAGAAATAATAGCTATAGCTATTATTTTTCTTTAAGAAAAGAAACCTTTTTAAAAAGTTATTTTCTGTTGATCTTTAAGTCTTTAGGAAAGGCAGTTTATTAGCATTCATCATAGATTAGAGCAGTAGAACATAAAAGGAGGTTTCCCCACTAAGACTCAGGTAGTAGTTCATCTTTTCTTTTTTAGGTTAAGATTTGTAGGCGAAGGCTGCTTGCTCGTTTCCTTGTTGCCGAAACCCAAAATAATCACACAGAAACTGTATTAATTACAATACTGCTTGGCCAGTTAGCTTAGGCTTCTTATTAACTAATTCTTACATCTCAAATTCACCCATTTCTATTATTTTATATTTTACCATGAGGCAAAATTGGTTTTACCTTATAGTATTCTTCCTCAGCTCTTACCTCTTATCCAGAGTTTTCTTGTCTCAAACATAATATCTTTTATTAATAATATGTTAAATATGGTATAGAATTTAAAAATTTTAGTACGTTTAGAGAAAAGTTGAAAGACTAAACTTTATAAATAAGATGCTTTTGAAAATAATGTAGATTAGTTATTAAAAATATAATCAGTTGTAAGTTTTTCATAGTGGTTTTAGTAATGCTACAGTGGACAGAATAAATTGAACTGTCTTAATACTGCTTTTGCTAGGTGTGTTGGTACATCTTTTAATTCCAGTACCTTGGAGGCAGAGTCAGGTGTCCTGACTCTGAATTGAAGGGGTCCTGATACAGAGTTCCAACCAGCTGATGATACATAATAAGATTCTGTCTCACCCGCTCTCTGTTTTTACAAGAGGACTAACAGAGCCTTTTGAATATAAGAAATTAGTTTAGGATTATGTATTTTCACGTAATTCCATGACAGGTCAGAAAGCTGACAGTTTTGTAAATATTTTATTTTTCTACTTTATGAAAAAGTGAGATTAAGCAATTGGGAGCAGTGAATATTTCTTTCCCCTGTTAATGACATTTAATGGTGTGGTTAGAGTCTTACTAGAATTTTATTAGCGCAAAGGTAGCCAAGGTAAACCTGAAAAGCATATTCATATCTAACATCATCCTTCAGTTTGCTTGTTTTCTTTGCTAATCTCTGGAGCTAGTAAGAAATACTGCTTTCGGGTAAAGCAGACAGTATACCATTTTTCTTGGAACATTTGAGCTCGTTTTGATCTTTGCACTTGGAGTCACTTTTTAATACTTTGCACATAACATACACCTCATCTGGTTGCATTGAGTCTTCAGCTTAAATTGGTTTAATCTTTACAGTGTAGTGTCTTTGGTAAGCAGACAAATGTTTCTGTGGATTGTGTTTTTTTTTTTTTTTTTTTTAAAAGGAGACAGTCTTGCGCCATAAACCAGGCTGGCTATGAACTAATTTGAGATCAAGTTGCCTCTGCCTCCCACGTGATGGGATTAAAGGCGTGTGCTACCACCATGGGACAAATGTTTCTTTAAAAAAATTTTTTGGTTTGTGGCGATGCCTTAGTGGTTAAGTACACTTCTTGTTTATGCAGCGCACCTGGGGTTGCTTCCCAGCATCCACAAAACAATTCTCAGTCATACAAACTCCAGATCTAGGATACACCTGAAGCACAGAGGTACTGATAAGCTAAATATTCACAGACTTAGAATAAAATAAGCAAATCTAAGGTTTTTAAAATTATAGTTTGTGTTTTTAAGAAAGAGAAAGAGAGGAGAGAGACAATGAGATGTCTTTTCAGCTCGTACTTCACATGCATACAGTTTGTTCATGTGTATATATATATATTTGCTGGCACAAAGAGATGGAAAAGCGTGGTTTTAGTATTTTCAAGTTAACTTTATATTATTGTATATAAATTAGATTAATTGATGAATTATAGCTTTTTTTCTAGCTTATCCTATTCAGAATGTATAAATGAAAGGTAGGGTTTAAGAGGCAGCCAAATATTAATTGCTCTTGTTTTAAATTAAGTGGAAGGCACTAACATTTTTCACGTCTTACTTACACATTGTTTGGTTTAAATTTACTTATAGATTAGGATATGGCTCCATATCCCTGCTGTCATGCAACATATTATACCATTTAGAACTTATGTTATCAGGTAAGTTTGTAAAATTTCTTCTCTCATTTATTAATTAAATTTATAACATAATTAAATAATTCATAACAATTCTGTTACTTTTGAAAGACCCTTGTAGATATATTCTAGGGACGATTTCAGTTTATAGATCAGTATATAGTAATTTTTATGCATGTGTATGAGTTTATGTTGATATATACATTTTAAAAAATTCTTTAACCTTGTTTTTTGCATGAGTTTAGGAAGAGTTAAGTAAAGACTTAGTATGGCTTTACTGACTTTATTAGTCAATAAGTAATTTTAAGTACTTTGTTAAGGAACACTAAAAAGCAACAGGA